GTTGAGAAGTTAAGAGGAAGGATTTTCATTATTTTTGATGTAACGCCGCTGGCTCATCGCTTCGCAAGACGCCAGATATCTTGTGCGTTCCAAATCATTATAGGGAAATAACTTGAATATCAGATTTTCAAAAAGTCGTGTGCGAAACTATGGGTCACTCTATAATTTTTTGCAATTACAGTTTCGTTGTGAAGGAAGGAGGCAGAAATGGCGTTTACCTTCGCCGTCAAGATCGCTCCGATGACGGAAAAGCTCTCGTCCCGGGCGAATGTGTGTCCCTCTCTATCAGTGAAGCTATTGGTACGCTTCTTTCAACGACAATGATTTCTCAACTACCTGTAGTGGATTAGAGGTAATGCATATATACAATTAGGTCGCTCAGCAACATGGGAAGGTACTCCTCCAAAAACCCTCACCGCTTCAAGGAGACGGAGAGGCGCCGGTAATGTGAAGTGTGTAATAGAAAAGGTGAATTAATCTGAGATAATTCACTCTTGATTCGCTCTTAATGTGTTGTTCATAGATCGAAACTCATTCAATAATTGTGGATTGGATCACATCTCCTTCATCTACTAGGAGCCCTCCTAAAACTATTCCTAAGAATGAATTGAACAAGTATGTATGTTCTACTGCATGAAGCTGTTTTAATCTAATCTTGTAGTAAAATGGATAGATTTGTAGAGTCACCCGCATTGATCCTTCTGCAAATCCTCGTCCGAGTACATGTGATCGTGTGAAAGTAGTTCCAGACGGGCTATCAACGGTGAGGCTGATTTTTTACAATATGTTTTACATCTGCAGTCTCAGTGAGGCTAACTTTTTACAATATGTTTTACATCTGTAGTCTCATTCTTTGTCACTTGAAGGTCTGCACATTCAAGGAGTTCTTTTCGGATCTGACTCAACAATGCGGCGATCGCTTCAAAAAGGTTCAGCCTATGACAATAAGTTTATTTCCTTTATTTTGGAGCAACACGCAGCGCTTCATATTTTTTAGCTTCTTGCTAGAGATGATGAAGCGCTCTCTACTCCGTGTGAGAACTGTTCGAAAGCATTACAAAAGGATCTGAAGCAAAACACAACCAGTGTTAAAGTCAGTGTCTGGATATTTTGTCCATAGGAAAAGACGAAAAGCCTGTGCACAGTCAAAATGGATTCCACTTAAAACTAGCGAGCATTAATAAGATTTTTTTTGAAGAATAATCCTACCAGGTTTTTGCACTGCTCTTGATCACGGGATGGTTTAATATATGTCCTGCGTTTGACTAAATAATGTTGTTCGTGGAATCTTGCCTTCTCACGCACATTGTCCACTACTTTACTTTCTTCTACTTTTAAATGTGGCCTCCTTTGCTCCCAGAAGTTTTCTTCTTTTTTATAATGCCATAGTTAAGGCACCGAAAATTGCCCGTTTGAGCAAGTCTTTGGAGCAAATCAAGGAAGGAGAGGCTGTTTCTTCTCAAAGTACGGTCCCGTCTGAAGTAACGGTAAGTTCTATAATTATGGTGACTTATTAAACTAAGAAATTGTGAGATTATGTACAGTTTGTAGGAAAAAAAAGTTGTTGGCTATAATCTCCTCTTAAACGTCTAGGTGTTTATCTTGAAATAACTTTGAAATTATGGAATACTTCCTTGAAGTGACGTCTATCACTAATCCGTCATCTTCGTTTTTATTGTGTCTCCATCTGGAAGCTACAAACAAATTAAACAAATTATATATCGCACGATAAACTGCGTCTTTAGATGGCTCAAGGCGATGTGACGAACGTTGATGAAGCCATGTGTTCGTCGAATGACAGTAGCGACGATAACGACGTGCCATCAGGTTGTGGGAAATCAAGAGTCTCCGTTTCCCGTAGCCTTTTGCGGAAGCGAACGTACTGTTTACGTATCATTGTCAAATTCAGTTGTTGTTTTATTTGCATTTTTTAGACGAAAATATCCAACTAGACGACGAAGATGTACCCCTTCATTACCGGTAGGATGTTCGCGCCTTGCTAAAGACATTCTAGGTGACGGCTTTGTTGGAGAGGTTTGTTTTCTCACTTCGACATTTCATATGTTTTTACTGTGAAGATTTTCCAATGGATTGTAACAAAAACAGTGGGTGGCTTTCTTATTTGTGAAATCCACATATTAAGCCATCTTTGCTTTTACTTTATGAGTAGCTATAAAATGCTTAGGGTTCCTTTCGGTTTTATTTCGAGGG